CGCCCTTTGTGTAGTTTCCTGAGATTTCTGCACCACTGAAGTCAAAACCAGGGTTCTGAAAGACAAAATAACAAAACTTACAAGATGTTGAATTCACAGTTGACAAAAACAAAACAAAACAAAAACCAAAAATATCACTGCAAGCACCCATGGGAAAATGAAAAACAAGAGGCACCTTTCAGATCTGTTGGTCTTTACAGAGAGAGATGCATGTGACAATGCTAGTGACCGTACAGCGAAACATCTTTCAACTTCACTGTCTGTATAAAAGATCTTAACCTTTTCTCGGGGCAGAGTGTATTATAGACTGAACACAGAGCCTCCTTTAAGCTAGGCAGGTACTCTATTCTGATTTATACCAATTTTCAATTTAATTGTTTTCTTTTGAAACGTGGTGTAGCTATGTCACCCAGGCTGACCTTGAACTTGGAGTTCTCTTGCGCCATCCTAAGTAGCTGAAATTAAAGGTGAATATCACCAAGCACAGCTAATAGCTGGCAATTTTTTGAAGCTTACTATAAGCCATGCAGAGTTCTAAGAGCTATATGTATATTAGCATAGTGATACACATTATATACAGTGGAGTACTGCTGTAAGCTTCAGACTTTTCTGGGGGCATTTCATTTGTTTAACAGACATTTATTGAGTCCCGTACAACTTGGAAAATACCACTAAATACATACAGATTTCAAAAGTAAAAGAATTTAAGACTTCTAGAGGAGCTTATACTGCAGCAGGAAAGCACAAATATCAAACCATAAATACTGACACAGATTTCGGCAAGCTTGACTTGTACAAAGAGACCAACAGGAATCACTTGTGACTATGCAGACTACATAATTTCTCTCATAAACACTTGATTATAAGAAAACTGCTATATATAAAACATATTAATAAGTGAACAAAGGTTATGTCTCTGTAAAACTTTACCTGCAGAGACATACAGCGGGCTGAATCTCCCCAGGCGACAATTTGCCAACCCCTGACTTAGTGTGCTAAAGCTTGTAAGTGCTATAAAAAAGCTAAACAGAAAGTATGGCAGGAAAAAGAATTAGAGAGAAAATTATAGACTTAAATGGGATCGCTAAAATTTGATGAGCTGAAACTACAGAATAAATATTCCAGTCAGAATCAGCAGAGAGCCAGGCATGCTGGTACACACCTTTAATTCCAGTATTTGGGTGGAAGGTATCTGTTCATGGCCAGCTTGATCTGATTTTATATGTGCGTGTGTGTGTGTGTGTGTGTATGAATACACACACACACACACACACGCACATATAAAGTTCCAGTACAGCCAGACCTGCACAGTGAGATACTGTCTCAAAGGAAAAAAAAATACAAGAAAGAGAAAGGGGAAAAAAAAAGAAAAAAGGAGTGGGTAAGAAGTAATTGATCAATTATCCCATTAAAAGAAGGAAGAACTTGGAGAATTCTGAGAAAAAAACACACTGATCTGACTTGAGCTATCAAAAGACATCTTTAATGGCTACTCTAAGATGACTATTTGGGTAAAAGTCAAGGAGACTAGTCAGAAACTTTGGCCGGGTGGTTGTGATGCACACCTTTAATCCCAGCACTTGGAAGGCAGAGAGGCAGGCGATTTCTACGAGTTTGAGGCCACCCTGGTCTACAGTGAAGAATTCTAAGACAGGCTCCAAAGCTACAGAGAAACCCTATCTTGAAAAACAAAAAACAAAACCCACCAAACAAACAAATAAAGAAAAAACAGACAAAAAGACCATAACTGAGATGGCGGCAGAAGTTTGAGGTGGGGGACTAAAACAACGAAGGGATCTCTCACCTTGTTACAATATGTACTCTACAGTGTTCCAGTGTTTTAGGCTTATTATTCATGAATTACTGATATGAATTTAGCAATCTTAAGTTCACAGTAACAAACATATTTGTGAAATTTAAAACCCACACACGCTGGGTGGTGGTAGCATATGCCTTTAATCTCAACACTCGGGAGGCAGAAGAAGATGGATCTCTGTGAGTCTGAGGTCAGCCTGGTCTACAGAGCTAGTACCAGGACAGCTAGGGCTGTTACACAGAGATACCCTGTCTCAAAAAACCAAAAACTAAAACCCACATAGTAGGCTATTTTCTTACCGTTCACTTTAAAACTCACCCAGGAGGTTTTTTTCTAACTACTTCGTATAACGGCTTGTGAACGAATACCCGCATTTGGATCATGTAACTCTACACACTCACAGCTGCACCCGACTTACTTCTTTCTGGAACCGCTCTAACGTAAGTTTTCTCTGCATTTGGTCTTGTACCCAGGGATCAGCTGCATATTCAGATTCTAGAAGAGAAGTCCAACAGTTTGCAGCGTCTCTCTTGGTCTTTGTCAGGACAATGCGGACCATTTTTCTATCCTCTAAAATACAAATGAGAAACAAGTTACAGAGAAATTACAGAAGGAGTTAATCCTTGTATTTTCTAAGACTGTCAGGCAATTCTGATATACAACTGTTCCCAACACATTTCTCCATCTTTAACAGCTACAAGGACAAGATTTAAAACAAAGAACAGTATCACAATCTACTTTTTAAATTTTATGAATCACAGTAATTATTCTTACCCAAAGTCCATGTTCCTTCATCAGCAATTGTAGAATCAAATAATTTTCCCTGGGAAATAAATATAAGGTACTAAGGATACAACATTACATTTTATACATTCTCATAATTAAGATTTGGCTCATTTCAAGCTAAGCCACATCTTAGAATAGTCCAGCCTAACTGTAGGGGCTCAACCCTGAACTTCCTCCTACTCAAAGGGACCCCGGTTTACAAAATTTGACATTCTTAGCATTGGAAACAACACAGGATGCTCTAGACAAAACAAATAAGACACACTACTCATTACTGATAGAATAAATGTGAAATTAATTATAAAATGCTTTACCAATCAAAATGAACAATCATGATAAAACTAGAAGAAATGTTCTATTTTATTTATTTCTTGAGGGAGGATCTCTGCCAGTGTTCTCAACCTGTGGGACGCAACCCTTCTCTTCTGGGTGTCCCATATTAGATATTTATAGTAGGATTCGGGTTTTTTTTTTTTTTTTGGAGACAGGGTTGCTCTGTAGTGTCCCGGAACTAGCTCTTGTAGACCAGGCTGGTCTTTAACTTACAGAGATTCACCTGCCTCTGCCTCCCAAGTGTTGAGATTAAAGGTGTGCACCACCACTGCCAGGCCAACAGTATGATTTGTAACAGTAGCAAAAAATAACTTTATTTATGTCACCCCAACAAGAGGAACTGTATTAAGGGGGCTGCAGCATTTGGGAAGTTTAACAACCACTGTTCTGTGTAGTCCTGGAGCTCAATATATAGACTTGACTGGACTTGCCTGCCTCTGGTTCTCAAAATGCTGGGATTAAAGGCATATGCCACAATGCCTGCCTTAAAAATGCTACCTTTTAAAGCAAATGTTATTAAAAGCCAGTTCAATCTCTTCCGAAAAGCTGGCACTAGAAAAAGCCAATTTCTTAAGGAGAGTTAACCACATACTGCAGATTTTGATGTCAAATTAGCTGTGACTAATTTTTCATCTCCTCCTGCCCAAGGTTACAAAACATGGTACCAGTATCCCTTCACCACTACACTGCATGGGCATCAATCAGGTTACACATCTAATCAAGGAGCGAAATTCAATCTCAGATTGTTATGTGAAAATTCTTTCTTTCTTTTTTTTTGAGACAGGGTTTAGGATTTTTCTGAGATTTGTAGAGCAGACTGTCCTCAAACTCACAGATCTCTTCCTGCCTCTAACTTTGGGATTAAAGGCACCACCACCCGGTTTGTGAAAATTCTTAAAAAAAAAAAAAATATGGTATAGCCAGATTCAAAATGTATTGGTGAAATCAAATAGAAGAGGCAGTATTTTCTTCACACACCTCTTCATTATCTTGATGATCGTCAACATGCAAGAAACCTGCAGTTTAGAAAGCCAATCTGACATCTTCATCCTAGTCTTGTTTGTTAATTCCTCTATTTGCCTGCCTACACATCACGAAGAGTTCAGAACCGTTTTGTCTAGTCTCTGGGACTTAGATCAGTGCCCGGAAAATGATGCGCATCTGCTCTTTTGATCTAATTAGCCTTCTGTCAGAGGAATTAAGAAGCAGCAGAAATCTGATTTAGAAACAAGGAAAACGGAATGTTTACATTACCACCCACGCAAGGTCAGCAGCTCTGGGAGCGGGTGCTACGAGGAGACAGACCCCTCGCCAGATCCAGTTCCTTTCTGCCAGCCAGGAACTGACCTTCCCACCCAGCAGTCATCCCTCTGAAACCGTGAATTTTAGGACTCGGGGTTCAGGGAGGCCAGAAGAAGGAAACCCGGGACAAGCCCTGGCTGGCTACCTTGAGGATCTCACGGCCACCCACGGCCAGAGCCACATGCCGGCTCTGCAGGCCGCACTGGATGTCCTGCGCGCGAGTGCCCGGAGGCACCTGGACTTCAATGAACACCTCCTCCAGGGTCTGGTACCACTGGCCCCACGGCGTCCCGCACGGGACCACCCCACTACGCTCCTCAAACGGGGCAGACATTCTCCAGAAGCCACGCGGGAACAAGGCTCCGAGTGAGCACGGCACGGGCGGGATGCGACTTGAGGTCACCGCACTTGCGCACGAGACCAAGCTGGCGCGTCCGAGCGTGCAGATTTTTCCCTTTCAGCGTCCGTTCGGGACACTCGCGAGACCTGGGGTGAAAGAACCGAAGCCCGGCGACCTCGACATCCCAAGAACGGTGACGCCGGAACAAAGGAGACAGGCGCTCGCGACCTTTTAACCTGTGTGACGCCGAAAACACGGAATCGCCGGCGGGGCGCCTGTGCAGTGCGCTTGCGCGAACGGTGAGTCAACTTAAGTAACGCCGGACGGGACTGGCTGGAGCCGTAGCGGCGGCGACCAGCAGCAGTCTGTCATTGGCTGTAGGCTTAAAGTTACAGTCCTCCCGATTGGACGCGGCACAAACTTCGTGCGCATGCTCCTCGGCCCCTTTCGGCTGGCTCGGCTAGGTCTCTGTCTTCTGATTGGCCGACGCGGGGAAGCCGGCGTGAATTTGAATCCCGGGGAGCGGACAGTTGCAGATGCGTTTGGTGGCCGCGGCGGATCCGGCTGTCAGAATGTCTTTTCCTAAGGCGCCCCTGAAAAGATTCAATGACCCTTCGGGTGCGTACCGGTGCGGGAGCCGGGTGGGAAGGGGACGCGTCCTCCACCGGTCCTTCCTCAGGCGGCGGGAAGCCGGAGTAGGGCTGGCATGGTGTTTGTTTTTCTCAAAATAAGTGCAGTAAACACTTGGCAAGGGCTGTACAGGATGGTAGGGATGTGGCTCCGAGTAAAATAGAGTCCCCCGACCGACAACAGCGAGCCTTCAAGAGGGAAATTCTACCAATAAGCCGTCAGCGCCATGGTGAAACTATAGCTGGTTGAAGGGGGATGACAATTGGCAGGCATTACGTGTTATTTTCCTTAGACTTTTCTTTCTTTCTTAGACACTGGTACTTGGTGGTACAGTAAATTGAGTGTAGGTGGTGATAGTGTCCAAAAAGTTAGGCTAAAGGAATTTTTAATGTTTTCACCATTAAGAATTAGATGTTTCCAGGCCCAGTGGCCTGAGCTACAAAGATTGTCAGTGACCCACCCCTCTCAACAAATAAATAGTTTTAAGGAAAATGAGACTGAAATCTGCTCAGTGTTAACACAGCTAAGTTGACAAAATTGATATGGGAACCCAGGCTTCCGCTGATATATCCTGTGTCCTTAACCACTGTAGTGTCTACCCACAATAACCAGGGAGCCTTAGGTGTGATTTGATCGATGCTAACTGTACAACTGTCCTGTTCTAAGGGCTGGAACTTAAGTCCCTTAAGCAGCCAGATGAGCAAAGTACCCAAGTTATACTCTTTACAAATGAGAAGTTGAGGGAGTTTCTGACTATATTGGCCATTAAAGGCCACGCTGTATCCTCTGTAACATCTGTCAGGTCTACGTCTGTGACTTCTAGCCACACCGCTCCACTCTCAAGGTTAAGGGACGAACAGATTCATCCAGCTCAAGGGCCACACCATGTAAAAGGTATTCAAACACTTAGGTTCTGCAGAGCATGGGAGATTGACATTGGACTATGAGTTCTAAGTGACTAACTGGAAAATGCAGAAGTCTGGAAGCTTGAAGGCTTTAGTTAATGTAATAAAAACTGCATGCAGAAACCCATGACTTCATCAGCTGATTTGTTTGTTTTAGGTTAGAAGATAGCAGCTTGGGTAAGAAATCCATGAAAAAATAATGATAATCAAGGGGCTGGAGAGATGGCTCAGTGGTTAAGAGCATTTCCTGCTCTTCCAAAGGTCCTGAGTTCAATTCCCAGCAACCACATGGTGGCTCATAACCATCTGGAATGAGGTCTGGTGCCCTCTTCTGGCCTGCAGACATACACACAGACAGAACATTGTATATATAATAAATAAATAAATATTTAAAAAAAAATAATGATAATCAAGGCAGCAATTGCAGCCACTTTGTGAATAATAAATAACACAGTTTACAAATAAATGAATTGTGTCTGTAATAGCAGAGGTCTATTGTCTCTGTGACTTTTTGAGGTGTGAGGTGGGGGGGGGGTCTTTCTCTGGAAAACCAGGCTGGCTTCAAACTCACAGAGATCCACCCGCATCTGCCCCCCTGAGTGCTGGGATTAAAGGCGTGTGCCACCATCTCTTAGCACACCTCTGACTTTTCCAGTAATGCTCTCATAGTCCTAATCCTTTCAGAATACACACACATAGAATTTTAAATAGGGTGGTAGCACATGAGAGTTTCTTTAAAAAATCAAGACGCACAAGAGTAATCAGCTGTCTGCGTCATGAGAAAAGTTAATTGAATAATAGATACTTAGAATGAAGAAGAAAAAATCCAAGATAATGAGATATTTAATCTCTAAATACTTGAAATCCATAAAGAATCAAAAGTGTTTATTTGAAATTCTTGAGGGTTAGTGGGAAACATGTATATTAATTACAAGCAGGCATATTTCTGAGAGTAAATATCTACTGCTACAATAAGCCTGCTTGGACTAACAGATTTTTATGTCTAAGAGATTCAAACACATGTACAACCAGAATACATGGACACAGTTTAAAGTCTCTTCTGACACAGTCGTCTACATTAGCCGCAGCTGTGTTCTAACTGGGCGGATTTTTGGTGCTCAGGCCTAGGTCTGCATGCATAAGAAAGCCAAGGACTCTGTTCCTAGAAAGCCTATAGATTTTTGTATTTATAAAATGATAAAATTATGCTGGTCGGTGATGGCACACGCCTTTAATCTCAGGAGGCAGAGGCAGGCGGATCTCTGTGAGTTCGAGACCAGCCTGGTCTACAGAGCTAGTTCCAGGACAGGTTCCAAAGCCACAGAGAAACCCTGTCTCGAAAAACCAAAAAAAAAAAAAAAAGATAAAATTATGAAGTCCAAAATTGTATTTCCCCCATCTGGTTTGTTCCTTGAGGCTAACGTGAAATGGGAGAAAGTTCTTATGTCTCACGCTGTTTGGCTTTACTGCACTGACAGGCTCTCATGGGTCCTACTGGTTTCCACTCTGAATACAGAAAACGGGACTATTCTCCTTTGCTTGCTAATTCTAAGAGAAGTTTCTGTGCAAAAGCTTGAGCCATACTGCGTTTGATTTGGCAAGGAGCCGGAGTGGGTGGGGAGAGTTTAACAAAATAACAACAAAAACTCTTCAAGCATGTTGAATCCTAGTACCCTCATCTACCACCTGGCCCATCCTTTCAAAGAGGGCAAAGTGCTGGATAGAGGAAGGTACACTGGAGCTAGGCATCACACTGCATGTGATCTGAGCACCCTGGACGCTAAAGTGAGAGACTCAGGGATTCAAGATGAGCCTAGAATATATAGTGAGCTCTGGAGGAGCCTGAGTTCCATAGTAGAATACTGTGGAGCGAGAACAAAAGTAGGGAAGAAAGACTGTTAAGCAAAAACATCATAATATATCTTGGGAAACACTAAGTTTTCTGGAATAAGTTATCTTAATTCATCAACAGTGACTGTGGGGAGCAGAGTAGGAAAGGTTTATTGGCTTCCTAGAGGCAAACCAAGTCAGGAAACACAGATGGAGTTCTGCTAATGGCTTGCTTTTTATGGCATGCATTGTTACACAACCCAGAACCGCTTGCCCAGGGGTGGAATACCCTCAGGAACTTCTGATGAAAGATAGTAGATACTTATTATAGGCATTGCTAATCTGTTAATGGTGGTAATAAAATGATAACATTAAGTGATGCATTGCTGTTATGTGTTTTCTGTAGGTTGTGCTCCATCCCCAGGTGCCTATGATGTTAAAACTGCAGAAGTAGCTAAAGGACCAGTGTCTTTTCAGAAATCACAAAGATTTAAAAACCAAAAAGGTAATGGGTCCTTAAACAATGATTCTACAGTCTTATAGCCTAACATAAGCACTACTGTTGACATTTTAAACAATGATTCTACAGTCTTATAGCCTAACATAAGCAATACTGTTGACATTTTAAAATGCTTTTGCATTTCTAAAGTTTCATGGCTGAAAGTATGTTTGCATATCATTGTTTGGTTTATTTATGAAAGACTCAAGTAAGGAATGTTTTCTTTTCATGGTCAGACTGTACATTACAAGTGAAATTATGCAGGATATTTGCAGATAGGTAGTTTCCCTTTGGATAATTGCTTTTCCTTTCTGTCAGAGTATTGGGACTGCCAAGGAGTTGGAGGGTTGGCTCAGTGGTTAAAAGCCCATAGTGCTGTTGCAGAGGACCTCAGTTGGGTACAAACACTCAAGTACACACACATACTCCCACACAAACACATGGAAAAACACTCAAGTACACACGCATACTCCCACACAAACACATGGACAAATTTAATATTTTTTTAAAAAATTTTTTTAAATTAAAAATATCAGGAAGGGAATTGGAGAGATAGCTCAGAGGTTAAGAGCACTTGCTGATCTTCTAGAGGTCATGTGTTCAATTCCCAGCAACCACGTGGTGATTCACAACCAACTATAGTGGGATCTGATGTCCTTTTCTGGCATAAAGGCATACATGCAGATGGAGCACTCATATACACAAAATAAATAAATCTTTAAAAAAATATCAGGAAGATTTTAGGTCTATAACAAATAATTGTTTAAGTAATTATTTGAAATGTACAATCAAAAGGAAAAGCTTATCTTGTTCAATTACTGTCTGCAATGAGAAGTTTGGAAATTTTATTGTATGTGGTTAAAACATACATCAACCATGGTCATATTAGTTTATTTTTTTTTTCAGAATCTCAACAAAATCTTAATGTTGACAAAGATACTACCTTGCTTGCTTCATCTAAGAAAGGAAAGACTTTGGTTTCAAAGGTGAGAAACGTTTATAAGACTGTTGGTATATTCATTATGTCATTGACTATATACCTGCAAGACACTGTGTTTGATTAAAATGGCTAAGTGTGTAAATCAAATTTATATGTAAGTTGGAGCTAGAGAGTATGCTTACTGCTCTTTAGAGGACCTGAGTTCAGGTGCTTGCACTTAGAATTGGAGTTTTGTATGATTAAGCATAGACTCCCCAAATGATAGACGTTTTCCAGTAGAAAAGGCTACCAGTTTTGAAATGAATGTCAACTTAGAAACACACATAACAAACATGTTATTATTAATGATGTATATATAATGAAGTGTAAACATCCATGTTTATATTTTCTTCCATTGTGTCAGAAAGGCTGCTATGTACAAGATTATGTGAAGATTAATTATGTCGTAGATAAATAAATGCCATTTAAAAAAAAAAAACCAGAATCACAAGTTTTCATCATAGACCTCTATTTTTGTTGTAAAGGAAAGGGAAAGATATTTTTCTAATGGGTTGAAATTTAGAAAATTGAAATTTTTTCAGGTTTTAAGAACATTTTAGCCAGGCAGTGGTGGTGCACTCATTTAATCCCAGCATTCAATAGGTAGAGACAGGTGGATCTCTGTGAGTTCGAGGCCACTCTGGTCTAAGAGTGAGTTTCACTAAGAAACCCTGTTTTGAAAAACTGAGGGGGGGGGCGCATTTTATTTATCAGAAAAATTCCTATAAAATATGTCATAACCCTCTACAGTATTTACAATACATATGAAGATGGGTGTGTTAGTTTGTAGTTTCAATCCCAGCACATGAAAGTTGGATTGTGAATTCAAGGCCAGGGTGCACTGCAGAGTGAGTTCTTAACGTAAAAAACTAAAAATTAGGGGGCTGGAGAGATGGCTCAGCGGTTAAGAGCATTGTGTGCTCTTCTAAAGGACCCGAGTTCGATTCCCAGCAACCACATGGTGGCTCACAACCATCTGTAATGAGGTCTGGTGCCCTCTTCTGGCCTGCAGGCATACATACAGACAGAATATTGTATACATAATAAATAATATTTAAAAAAAAAAAACTAAAAATTAGGAGCTAGAGAAATAGCTCAGTTACTGCTCTTTCAGGGGACCCGGGTTTAATTCCCAGAACCCACTTGGCTATTCCCAACACTTTATATGACTCCTCCAGAGGATTCAGTATCCCTCTCTGGCCTCCGAAGGCACCAGGCACACACATGGTCTGCAGACATATATGCAGGCAGAACACCCACACACATGAATTCTTTTTTAATTTGAAAAAGGACCAAATGTAAATAATTAAATATCAGATTGGGCTTTGATATTTGTGGCATGAAGTTCATAATTTTTTTTTTTGACTTTTAAACAGAAGGAGCCTCAGAAGAATGATAAAGATTTGAAGAGATTAGAGAAAGAGGTAAGCCATACTTTCAGCTTATTGGGGAATAAATGGAATAGTGGAAGTTGACTGTCTTTATTGAGGATTGATGGCAATGAGGATGTTATGGTTGATACATGTGTAATAATTGAGTTAGTGACATTGCTGATGAGTGAGTGACATTGCCAAGATTAGGACTGATTATTTGCATCAAATTTTAGGTTGGCAAGTTTTTAACCATACTTTCCTTGGTTTTTTTTTGCATCAGTGTGTGGTATGCATATTTACATGGTATGTTCTTGTGTGCATAGATGGGAAAGCCAGCGTCGTCTTAGGTTGCTCTCCACCCCAAGTATTGAGGCAGAGCTTTACAGAACCTGAGCTCGCCCTTTCAGCTAGTCTGCCCAACTAGCTCAGCCAGCTCACTCCAGAGATCTGTTTCTACCTGAAGTACTAGGATTACAAGCGGGCCACAACCCCTTACTGACACTTAGATGGCTTCTGGGACTCCAAACGCCAACCCTCATGTTTGAGCAGCAAACCCTCCCTAAATGTTTTCAATGTGTTGTTTCTGTGTTTCTGGTAACTAATATTCTGACAAATATTAGTTTCTGTGTTTTGCTCTTGGTTAACTAGTAGAGAGAAAAAAACTCACTGCTGCCTATTAAGTTCTTCTGAGGACTCTGCTTTCCTGAAATAAGAAACATATAGCACTTCAAGCTATAATTTAAATTTGTAATTAGGACCAGAGAAAACAAGAATTCTTACAGCTTTTAAGTGACTAAATAGTTAACTATCTTACACTTATATGTTTATGTCAATTAAAAATTATTGGGTTTTGTTGTGGTTTTGTTTTGTGTGTTTGAAACTGGGTATGTAGCTCTTACTGGCCTGGAACTCTCTATGTAGACTGGCCTGAAAAATCACAGAAGTCTGCCTGCTTCTGCCTCTCAAATACTAATCATTCAGAATTTACAGTGCACATCTTTAAGGTCTATTCATAATGTAAATATGATTATTCAAACAGAAAGTAGAAAAAGAATGTCTGAACACTGTATCAAATTGTACGTTTCCTAGAAGAGTTGAGGCTTCTGGTACCGGTACGATCAATCATGTATTTATCCTCTCATTTTCTTCCAGATCCGCGTTCTTTTGCAGGAGCGAGGTGCTCAGGACAAACGGATCCAGGATATGGAATCTGAGTTGGAGAAGACAGAAGCAAAGCTAAATGTAGCACTCAGAGAGAAAACATCTCTTTCTGCAAGTAATGCTTCGCTGGAAAAAAGGCTTATTGAGCTAACCAGGGCCAACGAGCTACTCAAATCTAAGGTAGTTGGACCTCATAAGAACACAACATTGAATAGTGTTTATGTTCACATTCGAGTGGTTTGGTAGTTTAAGCTTGTGACACTCACAAGTGGAGTTGAGGCTGTTTATTCACTTACAGCACAGGTATAGGAGTTCTTGCTCTCACTAGACCTAACCACACAAACTTTGCTGTGCTAAGTACTGGTCTATTTCAAGAAGGCAAGTAAGGTTTTGAATAGAATGTAGTAAACACCAGCAAACCATTAGTTCTGCTGTGACTATTAAATTAAGTGCTTTAAATATTAGCCTACTGTTGTAGGATTATTTTTACCTACTTTATTATAGGACTTAGAAATGGTTAATAAAATGAATGTGCTCAATACATAAATTGTGTTTATAAGTAATAATGTACTAATAGATTCTAAAGAATGTATGATGGTTCCATTAGCCAATGGCAAACATAGAGGGAAGTCATCGTTCAGTTGAATTCATCATTTATTCGGTGCCTGTGATGGGCTGTGCTCTTTATGTAGGGATTAAAAAGTGTAATAGAGCCCAAGAGAGATTCTGACCTAGAAGGCCTGGATTAGGCCCCATATCCTGTATACTTCAGGTATCCCAAGCAGCTGAGACTAGTTTAGCAAACAGTTCTACAAGTCTTTCTGGGGTTTGTCTAAACCCTGCATGTAACAGTAAGTGACCTCTTAGACCAGCGGTTCTCAACCTGTGCATTGCAACACCCTTGGCAAACCTCTATCTCCAAAAGTATTTACATTATGATTCATAACAGTACAAAATTACAGTTATGAAGTAGCAGTGAAAATAATTTTATGGTTGGGGGGGAACTATATTAAAGAGTTGTAGCCGGGCGGTGGTGGCGCACGTCTTTAATCCCAGCACTTGGGAGGCAGAGGCAGGCGGATCTCTGTGAGTTCGAGACCAGCCTGGTCTACAAGAGCTAGTTCCAGGACAGGCTCCAAAACCACAGAGAAACGCTCCTGTCTCGAAAAAACAAAAACAAACAAACAAACAAAAAAAGAGTTGTAGTGTTCGGAAGGTTGAAAACAATTGACTTAGACTGTTTCAAAAATAGGCCAGGAATTCAAGGGAAAAGGGAAAAATCAGTACTGGTGTACAGTCAGTACTTGTTGTGGTAAAGCTCTCTTCTCTGCCAAAGTATATTACACATAATAACTCCAGTGATAGGCACATTAATTAGTATTTAAGTAATTCTTCTTCTTCTGGGTTTTTTGTTTGTTTGTTTGTTTGTTTGTTTTGAGACAAGGTCTTATGAAGCCCAGGCTGACCTTGACCTCTTGGTCATCTTGTCTGGGTCTCAAGTGCTGAGATTACAGGCAACTGATACTAGACCCAGACTTACGTAATTATACATATGACTTAGCAGAAAATATTTCTGAATTTTTATGTTGTAGTTTTCTGAAGATGCTCACCAAAAGAGTATGAGAGCTCTAAGCCTGGAGTTGATGAAACTTAGAAATAAAAGAGAAACAAAGATGAGGGTGAGTGCTACCTTTGGTGTATATCCCGTCTTTCGTCTCTGGGAACCTAAGAGCTTCTCAGTTCCTAAAATAGTTGTCTCTGTGTGCAGAGTATGATGGCTAAACATGAAGGCATGGAGCTGAAGCTGCAGGCCACTCAGAGGGACCTCGTGGAGTCTCAGGGGAAAATAGTCCAACTGGAGGGAAAACTGTAAGTGGGAAAAGGAAAAGGATAGTGAAGTGACGATTTCTTTATTAAAGTGTTCTATCAAACTATGTATTAATAAAGTTCGGTAATGTTTCAGTGTAAATACACATTGTATAATGAGGAAATCAAAATAAATATAAGAATCCCCTCATTACCTTATAGTGAAGAACTCTAGCTTTTTTAAGTTATACCCAACTCAGTCTGGAGTCATCTTACTGTGGCATGCCAGCTTCTTCCTCCTTTCTGTATTAGAACTCACTGATCAAAAGTTCTCTTGACCAACTAGCGCCATGCTGGCCTTCCCCTATTCTTTTTCCAAGTTTCAGTAACTATGTTCTTTTATGATAATTAATTTTTAATTCCACTAGTTTGTGAAATTTGTGGTATTTGTCTTTGTGCCTTGCTTGTTTCACTTGGCATAATGAACTCTAGTTCCATCCATGATGTTACACGAAAGGATTCTGCTTTCTTTATAGCCCTGTGTACTATTCCACTGTATGTCATTGGATCAGTTTGTGTCTTGAATAGGTGTCCTTGGCTTCTGTGTCATAGCTGTGTCAGTGCTGCTGAGGCTACCGTGGGCGTGTAGCCATTACATCCATGTAGTGACTTTGTTCCCTTTGACTGTATACCCACAGCCTCAGTTGTTGACCTATGGTAGTTTATTTTCAGTTTTGTCGTTCGTTATCAAAAACCTATGTTCTGTTTTCCATAATAATTATGTCAGATTTTTTCCTACCACCAGTGTACAAGAGTTTATTTTCTTTATATCCTTATCAGTACTTATTAACTTAAGACTTTTTAAAAAATTTATTTATTTATCTTTATGTATAGGAGTACTTTGCCTGTATGTATGTATTTGCACTATATACATGCCTGATGTGTGGATCAAGAGGACATTGGATTCCATGAAACTGTATTTACAGACGGTGGTTGTGATCCACCATGTGGGTGCTCAAACCTAGGTCCTCTGCAAGAGCAGCCAGAGTTCCTAACTGCTGAGCCATCTCTCTGACCTCCAAAACCAGTCTTTCTCTTTCCCTCTAGTCCCTCCCAGGTACTGTCCTTTCGACTACTCCTATGGACCACTCCCCACACTTTTAAGTTGATAGCCTTTTTTTTCTTTATGATTGTTACCTGTTTGTGTGTTATATATACAAATATAATACAACCTGATGAGTCTGTTTTGTTATTTAATGATCATTCTTTCTATGGCAAATTAATACTTGATTTTGATTTGCATTTTCTTAGTGATTAATGATATTAAGCATTTTCATCTATCTGTTGGCCATTTGTATATTTTTAAAAAATGTCCATTTATATCTCCTGCCTATTTTTAAATTAGGTTAAGTTTTACTATTAAAATTTGAAAGTTCCTTATATAATGTAAATATCATAACTTTATTAGAGATACACGTTGCAAATATTTTCTCCAATTCTGTAGGTGGTCTCATCATACGGTATTTGCTATCCAGAATATTTTTAGTTTGATGTGGTTATATTTATCTATTCTTACTTTTGCTTTCTCTGCTTTGAGGGTTTGGCCATTCTACTTTCAGTGTCCTAAAGCATTTCCCCAGAATGTGTGCTAGTAGTATTGTTGTTTTGAGTGTTAAGTACTTAGTCCCTTTTGAATTGACTTCAGAAGCTGATGGGTTATAGGGGCTTACTCCCATTTTTCTGCATATGGATACATGATGTTCCCAGCATCATTTATGAGGATTCTTCTGTCTCCAGTGCATGTGCTGTGGGTCTGTTTGTTACCCTCTTGGCTCTAGGCTGTCGATTTATCCAATTGTCTTATTTTTACACAAACACAATATTTTCATTTCGGTAGCTTTGTAGTATATAAAATCATGGAGTGTAGTCATTCTTGCATTGCCTATTGCTCAAGGTGTCTTTTGGTTATATGGTCTTTTGTTTGGTACAAATTATAGATTTATTTCTTGGTTTGTGAAGAATGTCTTTGATATCTTGTTAGAGGTTGCACTGAATCTGTAGATTACTTTGTGGAGTATGAATATGATAACAATATTGACTCTTCTATAAATATAAAGAATTACTTATATCCTGTAAGGTTTTATGTCAGTATTTTGTAATTTGTATTATAGAAAATGATCACCTCTGTTGTGGTTTAAATGGCACATGTCCCGTACAATCTCATCTTTTGAACTGGATCCCAGTTGGTCATGCTGCTGGGAGGCTGTGGAACCTTGTGGAGGCTGGGCAGAGCTAAATGAAGTAGGCCTCTGGGAATGGGTCCTTGGAAACTTTAAAGCAAAAAAACAAAAACAAAACTGCAAGGAGTTGATGAAGAGTCAGGTGTAATGATGCAGTAGTTTTGGTTACAGAGTAAACTTTTTAGTCTCCATTTTATTTCTGCTCTGATTTTTATTGTTTCCTCTATTAACTTAAGACTACAGTAGATTGTTAGCCAATTTTTTTATTTGCCTTTCTCTGAAAGCTGTATTTGCTATGACTGTTTCCTCAATACTTTCTTTGTTGCCTTCCTTAACCTCTTTTTTTCAGGGGTGGAGGGTAGGTAGTTTAGAGACAGGGTTTCTCTGTATAACAGCTTTGGCTGTCCTAGAACTTGTTTTGTGACCAGGCTGGCCTTGAACTCACAGAGCTCCACCTGCTTCTGCCTTTTGAGTGCTGGGATTAAAGGCGTGTGCCACCAGCTCCTAATTCTTCCTTAACCTCTTAAGTCAAGTCATAATCATACTCTAACCTTATAAATGTGTTACCTTCAACTCCTTTTGTGCTTCTTCAGTTTTGATGAACAGGGAAGATCTTGTTCTGCTAGCATGATTGTATTGAAATAGTTGACTAACCCAAACTGAAACACAGGTATAGGAAGATAGGATTCATGTCCAATTATAACCTTAAAAAAAAAAACTGAGCTACAACTACCATAAACCTATCTCACACACATCACATACACAGACTCCTACATGCACACACAAATGTGTTCACTCATCCATGCATACAGAAACACATCTACACATACATCACATGCACACAACTGTGCCGCTTTATAACCTGTAGCCAAGTGTGGTCTTAGATTTGTTCTATATTCATAGTGTTTTATATTGCTGGCCTATTTCAGCCTTTCTAATGGTGCTAGATGCTAATTTGTCTTTGTTGTTCCTGTTTGAAACAAGGTTGTGTGTCTCATGTAGCCCAGGAAGTCTTCAGTGTCCAGATCCTCCTTCCTCAGCCTTTCAGGCTGCTAGGATTTACAGGCCTGTGCTATATGACCTGGCAATAATTTGTTATATCTATAGACTTTATATATCTTCTCTTATGAAGTATCTGTTTAAATCTAATTCATCCCTCAAAGTAGAAGAGCCTAAATCACATAAGTAATCGAATACTGTACAACCTGGAATGGAAGCTTCTTAGCATACAAAATATGATTTGGGTTGGTCAAACTAGGAAAGCTGCAAAATATGACCATTTCTAATTTATACTGCTGTTCTCATCATAGATCTTTTGTCAGAGTGTGTTTGGAAAGCTTTTTCATGTAAATAAAATCAAGTTACCTGTGTTGATCATAGTTGCTAACCTGAAAAATCACATGAAATTTAAGGTAGAAATTGACCTCTGGAATTACCTTACCTGACATAATAGTATTTAGTATCTAGTAATTATTATGCATGGTTATTACGTAAACAAACCATATATATTTATTTCCTTTTTTCCCCAGTGTTTCCATAGAGAAAGAACAGATTGATGAAAAATCTGAAACAGAGAAACTCTTAGAATACATCGAGGAAATTAGGTAATATAAATAGTAACTTGAAAATTAACTTCCAGGCCAGAGAGATGGCTCAGTGGTTAAGAGACCTGGCTGCTCTTCCAGAGGACCTGGGTTCAATTCCCAGCAGCCACATGGTGACTTAACAACCATATGTAACACCAACCCCCAGGGGAATCTTATCTGATGGCCTCTGTGGGCATGGCACATCATGTGGTACACAGACATCCAGGCAGATAAAACATAAACATTGAATTTATAAATAATTGAAATGAAAAGAAAATGGACTTTACTGGCTGGGAAATAACTTTGTGGGTTGCCTGGCATTTGGGAAGCCCTGGATTTAAATTCAAAATTGTTTTGCTCATAGAAAACAAGAGGACCTTATTTTCTTGAATATGTTCTTCCAGTACCTAACGAGGAATTCTCTTCAAAATATTCTTTAATGCAGTTGTGCATCTGATCAAGTGGAAAAATATAAACTTGATATTGCCCAGTTAGAAGAAGATCTGAAAGAGAAGGATCGTGAGATTTTAAGTCTTCAGAGGTCTCTTGAGGAAACCCTCACATTTTCTAAGCAAATAGAAGACCTGACTGTTAAATGTCAGCTGCTTGAAACGGAAAGAGGTACTGTGCTATTGATGTTGTTCTACTTCAGTAAGGCCTGGGTGCTGTCTATAAAAAATGTATGTCTGTATGAGAGCAACATTTTTCATAATTATGTGAATACCAAAAAAAGTCCATGTGCTATGTTTGGGAAGTTTTTTTAATGGTACAGTGTTTGTTTTATTTCAACATGTTATATTCTTTGACGACTTCTACCCTGGGTGGCCATTCATAATTAGTGTAAACTCAAAACTAACCTTTCTGTGTAGCATATATAATAAGGTAATGACTATAATCTTACCCCTTAGGAAACACTCTATATAGTGTGCTACAGCAATGGGGTGAAATATCAGCTGAACTAAGCCCCTTAACATCAGTATTTAGTTCTGGAATGCCTCATATTTTCCTTTTATAGACGATCTTGTCAACAAGGACAGAGAAAGGGCTGAAAGTCTCAATGCTGAGATACAGATTGTAACAGAGAAGCTTGTTCTGGGAAAACAAGAATATGAAAAGCTGCAACAAAAAGAATTGCAAATAGAGTCACTTCTACAGCAAGAGAAGGTAGTTAACTACATGTATTTTTGCTTTTTTTTAAAAAAAACTACTTAATTATATCATAATTTCTCCTTTTTATCAGAAATTCTCTGTGTATACTTTGAATGTTTAGTCACAGATACTAGTATACGTTTTATCAAGTAGACAAGATAGGTATTTATAATTACCTCAAAAAAAATGTCTAACACAAGATCTCCTGAGTAAATTGAAAGCATGGGGACCTTGGGGGAGAACTGAAGGGGGGAGGGGAGAAGCAGGGAGGGGAGCAGAGAAAATGTAGAGCTCAATATTATATATATATAAAGATTCCTAAGAGTTCAGGGAAAAAAAAGAATGTCTAACATTAGGAAAAAGCAAAACAATATAAAAATGAAAGTTACATAAAGAAAATTTTACATATCAGTAAGGGAAGAAAACAAACAAAAAAACATGGTTATGGGGAATAGAAGTAGATAATTGTAACACTGTAACACAACACTCCGATTACTTGTAAACATGGAAAGAGGCTCTCCCCCATTAATCAGTGGATTAGAGATTCATTAACCATTTCACTGTCATACTGTGGGGAAGGCTGAATCAATAGGGATGGACATGCACTAATGTGATGGATATTTGGGGGCAGTAGACAATGAAAGGGGTTCAATAGGTTAATATACATTAACCTGGAAAGATCTCAACTATTTTTATGATTTTAAAAAATTTTACATACACAGAATATGTAGTATAGACCCCCCATCCCAAATGTATGGTATGTATGAAAATATATGGGCAAAAACCAAAAGTTACCTCTGGAAAGGAAAAAGAGAGATTGGAATAGGGATTAGTGAAAACTTTTACTAATTTCATTTAAAATCTAGAATTTTGTTCTCAATAATAATGTTTTATAAAACTTTGAAATGTGTATCCTATAACGGAAACATTTTATTAAACGGTGAGATCATAATATACTTATTATCATATTTAAATAGAGTAGATTGGTAAATTGGGAGCATAGGGCCCATGGGAGAGGGTTGAAAGGGAGCGGGGAGGAGAGAGGAGCTGAGAAAAATTAATAGCTCAATAAAATCAAAAAAAAGGAAAAAAATCACGATAATTTTTTTTAAATATTTATTTATTTATTACGTATACAATTTCTACATGTATGCCTGCAGGCCAGAAGCAGGCACCAGACCTTATTACAGATGGTTGTGAGCCACCATGTGGTTGCTGGGAATTGAACTCAGGACCTTTGGAAGAGCAGGCAATGCTCTTAACCACTGAGCCATCTCTCCAGCCCCAAAATCACGATAATTTAATGTCAGGAATTGAATGACAGATTTGTGTTATATTTTATGTAGATAGGGAAATAAGTCTTTAATGACTTTATTTTTTTCTCTTAATGTTATCTAATGGGAAATAAAGCATTTTATGCATTGGAAGTAGATCATATTTATTAACAAGATAAAAGTAAATAAATTTAGAGTATATTGAAGTATGTATAAGCCAGTTGTACAGAAGATATAAAGAAAGTCGTGTGATGGTTTTTCACTAAAAAAGCTAGAAATTATATTTTCCACAGTATTAAATTATAATATATAATCTAGGGAAAGTGAATATAGCATGTATATTTTTATGTTTCCTTTAAACTTTCTAATTTATTTGCCATATACTTCATGGTCTGTATTGCATTTCTTGTCTCCAAGAAAGGTCCTGAGGCCACATCTAATTATTTTGTGCTTCTCTGTCTGAATGCAGGAATTGTCTGCTAGTCTTCAGCAGCAGCTCTGCTCATTTCAAGAGGAAATGGCTTCAGAGAAGAATGTCATTAGAGAAGAGCTAAAACTTGCCCTGGAGGAGTTGGATGCCGTACAGCAGAAGGAGGAACAGAGTGAAAGACTGGTCAAACAGCTGGAAGAGGAGACAAAGTCGACCACCGAACAACTGAGCCGGCTAGAGGAGCTGCTGAGAGAGTATGTGTTAGTGGGGTCTTTTCTACACAGGACAGGAAATATGAACTGTTTCCTTAGAGTTCTCATGTCACCAGAGTATATGCACGAAGGTAGGAAGAGATACAGAGGAACACATGGTACGAGTATACATATGCTCACATACGTACACCACACACATATATGTAAACAGGCATGGTAGTCAAAGTAAGAGTTGCCTAGCACATGTTTACTCCCCAGACCCAAGAGGTTAAAGCAGGAGGATGATGAGTTTGAGATTTGTCTGAATTGCACATTGAGTTCAAGGTATTGGGCTTTAATAGTGAAATTTTGTCTCACAACAAAAAAGCAACAAAAGGAAACCCTTTTTCTAAGCCAAAAGCTAGTGTTTGCTACTACATTTTCTAAAAGTCTGGGCATCCACATTAAAACAGTTTTTATTATATTTGAAAACATCTAACCTTTCAATTTTTTAAATATCTTTTTTGAGAGAATCCAGACACTCCATTCATTCATGCGTGTGCACATCAGCATGGACAGGCACACATCACTGCATGCATGTGGAGGTCAGAGAACAACTTTTAGGAGTTGCTTCTCTTCTCACCATGTGGGGACCTCAGGATGTAACTCAGATCACCAAGGTTGACAGTGCCTTTTTCCCCTCAGCCAATCTTTCCTCATTTAACAATCAGAAAACAAAATGGTCCCAAGCTATAGTGGCTCATGCAGGTAATCCCAGCATGTCAGAGTGAGGCAAGAAGACCGCAGTGAGCTTGAGGCCAGGCTGTGTTGTAGAATGGAGTGCTCTCTCAAAAATAAGCAATCAGCCGGGCGGTGGTGGCGCACGCCTTTAATCCCAGCACTCGGGAGGCAGAGGCAGGAGGATCTCTGTGAGTTCGAGACCAGCCTGGTCTACAAGAGCTAGTTCCAGGACAGGCTCCAAAACCACAGAGAAACCCTGTCTTGAAAAACCAAAAAATAAATAAGTAAATAAAGCAATCAGAATTAGCTGGTAAGCATTCAAAAACAGCATTCTTATTCAAAGAAAAACTGTCTCATGGTTTGTTTGGTTTTTTTTGGTTTTTCGAGACAGGGTTTCTCTGTGGCTACTTTTAAAGGGGCCACAGAAGCAAGTGGGGTTGTTCTTTGACTATTCTGATTGATTGGCTTATTCGAAAGGGCTATTACCAATAATTGACTGGAGAGCTGTTGCCAGATCAGATGAGGTAAGAGGTCATTTTGACCCCGTTTCCCAGGGGACCGAACCAAAGCATACGTATATGGGTAATTGTTCAGGAACTGAGTACGTGCGAGTGTAGCTGTTGGGTCCTTGGTTCCCAGGGGAGGAGGGGAAGCACTATGGCACAGAGGCTGAGAGGATTCAGAATTGTCAAAAATGGCTTCAGGATTGTCTTAAAGTCTTACATTCCCTCCTCTTACTTGGTCAAATATCTCAATCTTGAGATATTAGTAAATTTGGAGGACCAATTGGATCTATACAAAGAGATTAACAAACCAGTGTTGTAGGCCCATCATAGATCAATAGAAGGCACCAGGTCCTGTTGTCCTGGGACTTGGGAGAGTTAGGTTTATCCCCAATTACAGGACGTATGAGAGGTGATATTGTTGAAACTGTCAGATGAGGCTATGCGATACATGGTGCAGTATATTATCTTTTGTAATTTTTCCTTGTTCTTAGGAAAGAAGTTGAGCTTGAGAAAAGTAATGCTGCTCACATCCATGCAACCATGACTTTACAGGAGAGGTATAATGATACAGTGCAAGATCTTAAAGACATTACTGCTCAGTTGGAAAGGTATTTTTCTTTGTAGTGTTCACTATGGAATGTATGATTGGGGAGATGTGTTTACCTACAGAAATCTGAACAAAGTAATCCATAGAGGATGACTGCCATTACGTTACATTCCATAAAGACTGCCTGTAAATGGGCACCTAGTGTCATCTCGTAATCTCTACACGTAGGTTGGTGTTCTTTTCCTACCATCCACTTCAAACCCACGCGAACCTTTAGCACCATCTACTTTCCGGATAACATCATTTAAAAAATAAAAGCTTTTAGATCTTCATGATAGTTATCTTATCCCCCTGACTATTCACTAATTCTTTAGTCTCCTGTTTCTTTGTTGCTTTTCTTTCCCTCTCCCCCAACCATTACCCCTTCCTTACACTCTCTTGCTCTGATAGCTTTGGTTAGCCTGGTACTATCTGAGACTGGCCTCAAACACATGGAAGTCCTACCTCAGCCTCTGATTGCTGGTGTTACAGGAATGCTCGACTGTGTGGAAGCTAATATTTTAGCCTTTTTAACCTTAAGTGACCGTATAGTATCATTTCTTCCTTGTCCCTTAATTTTTCTTGACCAGGGTTGGCAGCTCATCTGCACTCCTTTGCTCAGGAGTTCTAAAGCACAATTCCAGTAAGGTAGAGGCCAGAATGAACTAGATAATGAGTGATTTCTAGTCCAACAAAGTGTGACCCTATCTCAGAGTGCAAAAAAGAAAATTAGAGGTGTTTTCAGTCAATATGATTGTATATTTGATGTGAAGTCATTTTTAAATGCATAAATTAGAAAAGAAAACAACCCAGTTGACCCTCACTTTTTTCTTTACCTCTCAAGGACCACTCATTCCCAGCACCTTCTTAGCACAAGATTCTCTTCCTCTCTCAGTCCATCCTCTTGAGGTAGCACTAGTTTTCATAAGTGTTATTTCATACAGTGCTCATTTCCCTCAACTCCTACCCTATCTACTTCCTATTCCACTTTTGGGGGTGTGGGGATACAGAGTCTCTCCGTAGTTCTCTCTGTCCTAGAATTTTCTATGTAGATCAAACTGGCCTTCAACTCACAGATATCCACCTGCCTCTGCCTCCCAAGTTCTGGAATTAAAGGTGTGTGCTACCACACCCTGGCACTAATTTCTCCTTTATTAAAAAAGGTCAAAAGCATTGGAGAGGGGGCTCAGTGGTTAAAGGCACTAAGTGCTCTTCCAAAGGACCTATGTTTGATTTCCAGCACCCACAGAGTGCCTCGGCCATCTGAACTCTAGATCTGGATATCAGATGTCATATTCTGGATTTTTGGACACTGCACATATGTGGCTCACATATACCTTCAGGCCAGCGACTCCTAAACAGAAAATGTTATGTAAACTCATCAGTACTCAGAGTACTGAGTTGCTACCTGTGTGAGCACATGATAATAAGGTTTTTTCGTCTGCCAAGAAGTATATAAGATCTAAACTTTGTCATGTGTACAGTAGTAACAAAGAAGTGTCTAACTTTTTCTCTTCAATAAGCTATAAAACATCGACCCTTAAAGAAATAGAAGAGCTGAAGCTGGAGAACGTGGCTCTACAAGGAAGAGTAGCCGTGGCTGAGAAGAATGTGGAAGACGTTCAGCATCAGATATTGACAGCTGAGAACACAAATCAAGAATATGCAAGGTGAGTAGCACAAATACATCAGATAAGGAAAAAAAGTTTTCTGTTTGTTTTTTGAGACAAGGTCTCAACTCACTGTGTATTCTTGGCTGAAACCTACTATGTAGAGCAGGCTGGCCTCAAATGGAGAATCTGCCTGACTCCACCTCCCAAATCCTGCGATTAAAGGCAAATTCCCACCACATCCAATTAGAATTGAAATTTTTAAGAACTTCTCCTACTGCTTTGTGTTTCTTTTCTCTGAAAAGAAGGGACAAAAATTAAAATGTCTGTGAGATAATTAGTGGATTCTTCTTTCTCAAATCCAAGGATGCTTCTAGATCTGCAGAACAGATCAACATTGAAAGAAGCAGAAATTAAAGAAATCACAGTTTCATCTCTTAAAAAAATAACTGATTTGCAAAATCAACTCAGACAACAGGATGAAGACTTTAAGAAGCAACTCGAAGAGGAAGAGACAAGGTAATTCAGGCTTAGACCTTGAGTGCCGTGTAATGCATTGTTTTTTTCTAATAAATTGAAAAAGGATAATTTTTAAATTTACTTTTCCCATACAGGAGAGCAGAGAAAGAAGATGCCGTGGCAGAGTTAACTGTGGAAAGTAATAAATGGCGGCTCCTTTATGAAGAACTTTGTGACAAGACTAAACCTTTTCAGGTGTGTTGCTTATGATTCACTTTTCGTGAGCTGGAGGTATGACTCAAGGTTTAAGAGTACTGTTTGCTCTTCCAGAGGACCCAGGTTCAAACCTAGCACCTACATGGTGGCTCCCAACTGCCTATAACTGCAGTTCTAGGGGATCCAACACTTTCTTCAGGCTTCATGGCCATGTGGTACACAGACATACATGCAAAATAATACACAGAAAGTAAAGCAAAAATAAATCACCTTAGTTGGGTCTATTTTACGAATGCATCTCTTTCCTGTGAGTCTTGGCTAGGACTTGCTGCTTCTGTATTACTCTTCATTATGTAGTCATGGTTACAATTGAACTGCATATTAAAAGTTCTCAAATTTTATCTGGTACTCAGCACTTGGGAGGCAGAGGCAGGTAGATCTCTGAGTTAGAGGCCAGCCAGGTCTACAGAAAGAGTTCCAGGGCAGTCAAGGCTATGCAGAGAAACTTTGTCTCAAAATTAAAAAAAATTTTTTTTTAATCTGGGGATGAGTAGGGTGCTTGGCATATACCATGTCCAGGGTTGAATTCCCAGCACTATGTGAAAACAATGAAACCAAAAGCTAAGGGCTAAAATTTACTATTTATAACTTCTTCACCTTTATTGAAATACAGTTAATAAACTTCGTAGTCATAAAATTTTAACATAGCTATTTAAAAAGTACTTTCTAATAAACAGCTTGTAATTAGTCGTCCTGAAGGCTCTCTTGATAGGAACATCAGTTTTACTTGGTGGTGTGTATTCTGATAATGATCTATCTCAGTATTTTTCAGGTTAGTATACTGATCTTTGTACTATATTTTGTCCTTTGGTTTTTAGATGGGAGTCTTGCTCTGTGCTCTAAACTGGCCTGCTGTGCCAAGCAGCCTGGCCTGGGGTTTGAAGGGCTCCTCTTTTAATTCCCAGGTTGTGTCCTTATGACTCTGCCTGTGCGCCTGACTATCCTTTGTCCTTGAGACCTAGGCTGGCCTCCAAGTTTCTACGTAGCTGGAGGGCCTTGAATCCCTGACTCTCCTGCTTCTGCCTTCTGAATGGAGAATTTATAGCCATAGTCCACAATACATGGCAATAACCTGGTCTTTTTATAAGGAAAAGGTGGTGGGAATGGTATCAGATGCCTTTAATCCCAGCACCCAAGAGGCAAAGACAGGTAATAAAGTTCAGGCCAGCCTGATAGTGCATTCCAGGACAGCCAAGTCTACATATGGACACCTTTTATTTCAAAAATATAACAAAACACGCCTACAAAGAAAAACAAATACTATCCTGGCGGCGGTGGCACACGCCTTTAATCCCAGCACTGGAGACAGGCTGGTGGATCTCTGTGAGTTCAAGGCCAGCCTGGTCTTCAAGAGCTAGCTCCAGGACAGGCTCCAAAGCTAAAGAAAAACCCTGTCTCTAAAAACAAAACAAAAAAAAAAGGTCTAATTGGACTGGAAGCAGATACTGTTTACAAAGGTGACTGTTTTACTGATAGATTAAGAAAGCTGGCTAGCCTGGCAGTGGTGGTGCATGTCTTCAATCCCAGCATTTGGGAGGCAGAGACAGGAGGATCTCTTTTAGTTCGAAGCTAGCCTGGTCTACAGAGTAAGTTCCAAGACAGGCTTCAAAGCTACACAAATAAACCCTGTCTCAAAGGAAAAAAAAAAAAGAAGACAGCTGGATGGATCTTTATTGCTTTCTGTTTTGATGATACTTAAAGTAAAAAATGCAAAGCTTAAAGGATTTTCTTAGTGAAATTAAACAGCCTTCAAGAAAAGTGTGAATACTGCTTGGTGTGTTATTTTTGTTTATCTTTATGCTTTATATGAACTTAATAAGATTTAATGATTTTAGGCCGGATGTAGTCACAAATGGTTTTAATTACTGGTGTTAGGGCAGAGGCAGAAGGATGCACAGGTTTAACAATTTTAAGTCTCAAATTCATTAAAAACAAACACGTGTCTTTTCCAGGAACAACTGGATGCCTTTGAAGCAGAGAGGCAGGCATTGTTGAATGAACGCGGTGCAACTCAGGAACAGCTAAATAAAATCAGAGATTCCTATGCAGAGCTCCTGGGTCACCAGAATCTAAAGCAAAAAATCAAGCATGTTGTGAAATTGAAAGACGAAAATAGCCAACTCAAATCGGTTTGTAAAATAACACTTGTATTCAGATATACTAAAAACTAGAAAAACTGAGCAATTTATAGGGGAGAACTCATCTGAGAATTAATGAACTTATTTAGTGTTGAACTGGATGGATATTCAGTTTTACTTAGCTTTATAATTGCTGCTGTAGTTGACTGTCTAAAATGTTTTTTGTTTGTCTTTGTTTAGGTTTTTTGAGACAGGGTTTTTCTGTGTAGTCCTGCCTATCTTAGAACTCACTTTGTAGACCAGTCTGGCCTCGAACTCACTGAGAGCCGCCTGCTTTTGCCTCTCAAGTGGTAGAATTAAAGGTGTGCACCCACCACCACCTAGTCGACTATATAAAGTTTTACACGTTCATCTCTATTTACAAAAATAACCATTTCTTTTTTGTAAATACATGAAGATAAGTCATATTCAAAAAATGATTATTTAATTTTTTTCCTTCTAGAAGGTCAATTTATATTTTATTTACGTACATATTCACATTTTTTAAATCTGTGCACTTGCTGATAAACATCTAGGCTTATTTTGCAGCTTGGCTGCTATAAATTGTTCTGCTGTAGACCTGAGTATATAGTTATCTATTATCTATTGAATGTTGATTTGATTCCTCCTGCTGTATACGCAGGAGCTGTAAGCCATCTCGTGCAGTATTTTGTTGTCAACTCCAGGAGGCTGCTGTCATCTGTCTTACTCTGTCTTACTCCCCTTGAGCACACTGAGCTAGGACTTTAGAACTGAAACTAGAGCCATTTAATCTCTTTTGGTGCCACCTCTGCCATTGGAGCCATGGTTCTTAGTGACTTGAAGGGAAAGGGTATGAGAAATAGCCTCAGTTTCTCTCGCTCTTGCATCCCATGGAACTGGTGTTATGAGCTAGAGCTAGGGTGATCAGTGTTTGCAGAACACCATTGCACAACTGCAGCTGAGCAGAAGACATTTGCCCTAGGACTTCACCTCAGCAAGTAGGAGCTGCTGGCAAATGGGCTTATGGGTGGGAGTCTTCGGGAGCTGGGGAGAAGGAAAGCCTGTGTTTTTGGCGATGGGCTTTCTAGTATGGAGGGAGTGAACTCATTGGTTTCAAATGCCAGAAAAGCTTGCGGATCATTTTGAATAGCTAATTTTTTCTTGGTTATTGTGCTTTAAGAGGACCATTTCTAGAGGAAGAATGTGATGGTTGCCTCTTTATACTAATTAGTTTTACTAGGAAGCCTGCCACAGAGTGTTAATTCTGTCAAGCCAAAAGCTGATTTGAGGGCAATTTATTTTAACTTCACTTTTGATCAGAAAAGTATACTCATAACTATAGAAGGTCAAGAAAATTTGAAATGCTTTGTTTACTTCGTATAACTGTTCCAAATCACTTTGTAATTAAATCTTTTGTGAATGTGTAAGAGTTACTTTTGCCATTAGTTATGATATATAAGCAACTTTTTGGAATATGTCTGCAACAATGATAACACATTTTACCACTGTATTTTAGTGATTATTTGTGTTTGTTTTTCTTATCTAGCAGGTGTCAAAACTCCGATCTCAGCTTTTTAAAAGGAAACAAAATGAACTCAGACTTCAGGGAGAGTTGAATAAAGCTTTGGGCATCAAACACTTTGACCCTGCCAAGGCTTTTCACCATGAATGTAAAGAGAATTTTGTCCTCAAGACCCCATTAAAAGAAGGTAAAAAAAAAATTATGTATTTATATACCTGTCATCATTCATTCTCTGTCTGTCTGTCTCTCTCTCTCTCTCTGTCTTGCTTTCAGAGTAGTTTAGTGATTTATCTTTTTTGTAAACTATGAAACTGTGTTGCTATCTTCTAATATAGAAATTCTTTCTGAGATTGATGTATCACGGCTACTTTCCTCCTTTATCTGCTTCTGCACATCTAGATGCCCTGTCCTTCAAGTTCCATCCAGACCACATCTTCCTTCAAGTCTTCCTTTTATTGCTTGTACTAGCATCCCTCCTTCCTTATCCCCTCTATACTGCACGTGTCTCGCCAAAGGCCAATCCCTCTGTACAAAACTCACAATGTAACCTAAGTGTGTCTTAGATCCATCATAATTTTTTATATTACAATTTTAGAGAAATAATTTTTTTGATGGAATCTTTATATATTTCACAGTTAAGTCCTAATTACTTGCAATTGTGTATGTGCATGTGTATTGATATAATACATATATATATATTATAATATGGTATAGAATGTGAACATTGCTTCTTCTGTCATCAAGAACATAGGTCTGGTTTTAGTTTATAATGACTTAGGAATTTGGTTTGGTTTGGTTTTCAAGGATTTGAATGTAGACCCTTGAACATGCTAGGCAAGTGTTGTACCTGAGCTAGATCCATAACCTGGATCATTGGTTAGTAGTTTTAACCTAAAATACTTATAGCCTGTTGTGATCTTCTTTTTAGGCAACACAAACTGCTGCTGAATTCTGATGTAACATCAAGGATCATGGAAGTATACATTTGAAATACATGATGAAGATTATTCTCTTCATTATTCCTGATATTATGTTTATAATATATATTATATAATATATTGTTTCTACTGCCCATTCTTAGATATATGGAAAGACATTCAGCATTTGTTATGAAGATGTCTTTTGACATTTTATTTTCTATTATGTATCAATTTAATCTTTTAATCTTTTTTAATTTTTCTCATCTCATTCTGAATAATGGCACCTTAACTCCACAGTAACCTCTTTTTTATCAAAGTCACTGAGTTATTTAATCATTCCCAGATTCTTTGGCTCTATCCTAGTTCTAAACTAAAGCATGTAGCTCGGCCTACAAACCTACATTTTTAAAAAAATTAGCCTGATAAGTTTTAGATATACCGAATTTTTTTTTCCCCTTCGTCTGAGAAGGATTTTTCTGTGTAGCTCTGGCTGTCTTAGAACTCCCTATGTAGCCGGGCGGTAGGCAGAGGCAGGCAGATCTCTGTGAGTTCGAGACCAGCCTGGTCTACAAGAGCTAGTTCCAGGACAGGACAGGCTCCAAAACCACAGAGAAACCCTGTCTCGAAAAACCAAAAAAAAAAAAAAAAAAAGAACTCCCTATGTAGACTAGACTGACCTGGAACTCAGAGATCCACCTGCCTCTGCCTCTCAATTGCTAGGACTACAGGCAAGCACCACCATGCCCAGGCTCAAGGAAATCTGAAAAACTGTACATATTAGATTTTTAGAGAATTTGTCACGTCACCTGCATATTCTCTGAATATATAGACACTCATAACACCCAAATAGTAATTCAATTTTCATGTAATAAAGTTCTGTTCAAGATGTATTTGTGTCTACCTCCGTCCTAATTTATCTTAGAATCATAGGTGATACCTTTTATTTATTTATTTTCAAGTTTTATTTATGCCAGGGTGACACACACCTTTAATCATAGCACTCTGAAGGTAGAGGCGGATGATGAGTTTAAGGCTAGCTTGGTCTATATAGCTAGTCCCAGTCTAGCATGTTATAGTATTTAGGCATCTGTACTGACCTGCCCTTGGGGTCCAAACAGGTTATATCCTCAGCTGTAGCCACTAAGAGCACCTCCTGTGCACATTCACTACCTTCCCTTTTAAAAGCTGGGCCTTGACAACCTCTCTCTCTCTCTCTCTCTCTCTCTCTTTCTTTCTCTCTCTTTTGCTCTCTTTCGGTCTCGCTCTCTTTGTTTCTCTGCCTGTCTCTCTGTCTCCCCACCCCTCTCTCTGCCTCTCTCTTCTATTCTGCTGCCCCTGTCCCCAGAAGCTGGTTTTCCCCTTCCTTTCTCCTCCTTTTCCATTCTCTTTCCCCTAGTAAAAAACCACCCTGTCAGGCAGTGGTGGCGTACGCCTTTAATCCCAGTACTTGGGAAGCAGAGGCAGGCAGATCTCTGTGAGTTGAGGCCAGCCTGGGCTACAATAGCTAGTTCCAGGACAGGCTCCAAAGCTACAGAGAAACTCAGTCTCAAAAAACAAAAATAAATAAAAAAAAAAATAAAAGCAACAAAAAAAACCCCACATGGCCTCTTTCTGTCATACTACTTTTTAAATTACAATACAGCCAAGACTACATATTTATTTTTACTTAGGTTTAAACATTGAAAATTTATATTATTTATTCTATTCTTGTAGTATTCTTTTGAGATTTATAGCCTTTAGTCATAGTAAATATACACAAGGAAAACAGAATAATCAGTCTTTTGTGGACTACTGGCTTTGTGATGACACTATCCACAGAATATCATTTCTGGGGCTGCAGACAGGGCTCAGAGATGGAGTGCTGACAGCACAATCCTGAGGACCAGAGTTTGAGTCTTAGTACCCATATAACAAGCCAGGCATCCGGTACATGCCTGACACATGCCTGGGTCTGAGACAGGAGAGTCACTCGGATTCGCTGGCTCCTGGCCTACTCAGAAAGACAGCAAGCCCCAAGTTTAGGGAGGGACCCTCCCTAAACAGATGAAGAGTGATAGAGGACCACACCTGATTTCCCCGTCCTCATTCGTACACACAAACACAGAATTCTTAGGCTTATTCAGGTTCAGTGAAAATTCAGTGGAGTTCCTGTCTTGCCCCAAGAGCAAGTCATAACCAGTTACCTGGTTATAAGCATATGTGGGTCTTACTGTTTGTACAGTCATACTTTTCTGCAAAATAAGTGCACACTCTACAGGAAAACAGATTTTGGCTTTTTTTCAGATCTAAATTGCTTGTCCATTTTATCAATGTGATGGCTCTTACTACATTAAACTAATATCCCAGAAAATGTTAACTGAGTCCACAGTTGTGACTTCAAGGATACAAAATATGATTGTATTGTGTTTTAAAATGCAGGTATCGCTATGCATGGTTGTATATAATTCTAGCACTTGGGAGGCTGAGGCAGGAAAATGTAAGTTCATGACTGGCCTGGACTTCATAGGGAGACTCTGTGTTCAGTCGTCTATTGGCCTACCCTTGGAGTTCTGACAGGAGCTACTGAGAGCACCTCTTATGCACTTTCACAGTGTTCCCTTTTAAAAGGTAGACCTTGCCCACCTTCCATCTTTCTCTCCCTCCCCCCTTTCTCTTTCTCTTTCTCTTCTGCCACTCTTGTCCCTAGGAACTGATCTCTGCCCCCCTTTTGCTCCCTTCTCTATACCCTTTTTCTGCCCCTTCTCTAAAATAAAATTCCCATATGATCCCTGTTGTATGGCGTGACTCCTTTTCTGCTGGTTTTAAATAAATTACAACACCCTGTTTTATTTTTTAAAAATGGATATAAGCTTCATATAGCAATAGAGTGAAATAAACATATCTTTTGTGTTTTAACACAAGTCTGGTAAATGTCAATACTCTTGATATTCACATTCCATTGGTAAAAGTTAAGTCTTCAGAAAGTTTACTAAGGCCTTCACTGTCAATAATTATTCCCAACTGCCAATCTCACCATGTATTTTTTTTTTTTTGCTATTCATAACTTACTATTCTCTAATTCAATGTATAATTGTTGAACTTTTGGATCCTTATTGTCTGGTCTTTAGTGCCTTATTAGGGCATCATTGCCATGTAAAACATGTTTTTAATAAGTTTATTTGTTTTATGGCAAATTAATTCTCAGCTCCAGCTGAAAACATTAAGAAGACAGAGGCAAATATTGCGTTTTAGCCTTTAAAGTTTGGGCTGGAGAGATGGCTCAGTAGTTGAAAACACTGACTGCTCTTCCAGAGGATTCAGGTTCAATTCCTAGCACCCATATGGAAGTTCACAACTGTCTATAACTCCAGTTCCAGGGAACCAACACTCTAACACAGATGTACATCTTGACAAAGCACCAAGGCATATAAAAAAAAATTCAAGGGGGCTGGAGAGATGGCTCAGAGGTTAAGAGCATTGCTTGCTCTTCCAAAGGTCCTGAGTTCAATTCACAGCAACCACATGGTGGCTCACAACCATCTGTAACGGGGTCTGGTGCCCTCTTCTGGCCTGCAGTCATACACACAGAATATTGTATACATAATAAATAAATAAATAAATTTTAAAAAAAAATTCAAAATTTTGGCCCGGTGGTGGTGGCACATGCCTTTAATCTCAGCACTCCAGAAGCAAAGGCAGGCGGATCTCTGTGAGTTCAATGCCAGCCTCATCTACAAGAGCTTGCTCCAGGACAGGCTTCAAAGCTAGAGAGAAATCCAAAGCATTTAAAGGTGGGTAAGTCTGTTCAATTTCAACCATTCTATGTACGTGTACAATGATATCTCAATGTGTTAGGTAATTATTGGCCCTTCCTCTGTTTTCCTTTGTGACATCTAGTAAAATTTTCTTCAATTTAAAAAATTGGGGGCTGGAGAGATGGCTCAGTGATTAGCAGCTCTCTTCCAGAAGACTTGAGTTCAATTCCTAACACCCACACAGCAGCTAACAACTGTAACTCCTAGATCTGACACCCTCACACAGACATACATACAGACAAAACACCAATGCACATAAAAATAAATTATTAAACAATTAAAAATGGTTTTTTTTTCAAATTATTGAATTGCAGTTCTTTAAATATTCTGAATATACTCTTTTCGGGAATATGTATTAAAATTATTTTTTCCCAGTCTGTAGTTAATTTGAACTTATTAATAATGTCTTCTCCTAAGCAGGACTATTTCACCTTGAGGAATTTCAATTTATCATTTAAGAAAGTAGGTGGTTTTAATTTCACTATTGTATCACAGATACCAAAAGATATCATCCTATAATTGAATTCTTTGATACTGCAGCTTTTGCTGTTTGACAGGACTAATCTTTAAGATATATATATATATCAGCACCTCCCTCTCCCCCAGGCCTCCTCTGATTTCCTGACCATAGGTGAATCCTCTGAATTCCTCCTACAGCTTGCCATATCACATGCCCTATGCCCTCTGGGTAGGCTATAAAGCTGAGTAGCATTTTAAAGTTCAATTTCAATACCAGCTTCTATAGACATTAAAACAGTGCAAGGCCATAAACTCAATGTCTCAAAGCTGAACTAAGCAAGCTTAAATCGCCCTTGAAACTACAAATTGCTGGCTCCGCTTCACTCCTAAAAAGTGGCTCTACACTGTTGATGCTGTTAGGGGCAGGTTTGGAAAGTACTGAGAAGCATATTCAATGCTTGGCAGAATACAGTCAATGGAAACGACCACATTCTACATTTGTGTGTTGCTACCGCTACGGTTTTTAAATTGCACTTTGAAATCTTAAAAAAAAGGGGGGGGGGCATTGAATGGGGCTGGAGAGATGGCTCAGTGGTTAAGAGAGATGGCTTTTACTCTCAAAGCGTCGGGGTTCGATTCCCAGCACCCACAAAATGGCTCACAACCATCCATAACCCCAATTCCAGGGGATCCAACAGGCACACATGGTGCTCATACATGCATGCGAACAAAATATTCATACACACAAAATAAACTTTTTGGAAAGCACCGAGGAATTTTACTAAAGGTTCTGTTAAGTGTGAAACGTGAAATATTTCAAAACAGGAATCAATTGCATTGTACTTCCCCCCAAATTGGCTCATTCTCGCTACCGGAGACGTCAAGAAGTTCTACCGGGAGAATTGCACTTTTTTTTTTTATTTGTTTGTTTTGTTTAATAGTTCTGTCATGGATTTTGGTAATGGACCCTCTCTTGACTTACAATTAAACATGAAACTTCTCATTGGGTAGTTTCAAAACGAACAGGAGGAATCAGCTGCCAGTTTACTGCACTGTGGAAAACTGCACGAGATTCCAGGATTGGAATGGAAATGCTAATTTAAAAGGTCAAGCGGAGCTGCGCCTCACGTTTTTGGCGTCCGTGTGCTCGGTGCGGGCGGAGCAAACAAAGACCCAGCCAGAGAAGCCAGACGCCGATATTCCTCCCGCTGCTGTTTCCCCAAAATAGTTCTGGAATCATGCCTGAAATGCCGGAGGACATGGAACAGGTAAGAGCTAGCAATTCAAGATACAGTCTCCATTCCGCGTTGA